TTACTATTATTATTATTGACGCATGTCAAATACTGCTTTAATTCTGAACGTCTTCGATGATCTTTTTATTGAAATGTATGACATTTGTATATGTTTTTGAATCTGTCCAAACTTCGATGATGGCTCTATCCAATATTTTGTCAACAAGCTGTTCACAAGTTCTAAATCAAACTTTGGGAGAAAAAAACATTCCTACATTTCTTTAACTATGGTATCGGCTGCATGGACTCGATGAACATTTGGTCACAATTCAAATTCTAAATGTTGAAAAAAAAGCAAAGAAATATGTAAATTATATAACGTAGGTGAAATGAGTAAAGGAATAAAACGGTGGGTTTTTTTCTGTCTTTCTAGAAGAAAGTAGTTATCTGGGTGTAGGACATTTGAACAGTTTGTGGACACTCGACTGTATGCTGAGCTGTTCTGTCGCCAGCCTGGTCCCATCTACGCAATAATCCGTCCCCACACACTGTTATATTTCCATGATGCCAATGTTTCCTTTTTTATAACTAATGCTATTACCGTATGCCATAACTTTTACTCCATGAGAGAGGAGCCAAGACAATTTAAGAGAATGAAGGACAAAAGAAGGACAAAAGAACGGGTTACTTATTTCCGATATGCTGATGTTAAGGTGAGAGAAGTGAAGAGAAAGACAGGGAAAAATATTTCCAGGACTGGAAAGAAAATGATAGATCTAGATCTATGAATTCATTTTTTAAGGGTTTTTTTAAATTTATTTTTTTAGCTTTATTAAGAATTTTTCAGAACTTGCAACACAGACAGATCATAAAGATCTACAGGGTGATTAAAAAAACAACAACTAAACAACTTTTTTTCGGTAAATATTTTCCTCCACATTGACGTTTTGAGTTTCAAATTCGTACACAACATTTTGGAGTCAAAAGGAGTTTGTCTGATATTCATTTTTAGATAAATCCACAGAATAGATCTAGTTTTGCTCTACATAGCGCGTAAAACAACAACCCATTCTCAGCTATGTCCCCATTTGTGTATCATGACGCACTAGTTCACATTAGGTCTACGGTCCTACCACTAAAAGTCCCAACGATTGCGCCATATTGCAAACTAAAGTTGTCTAACAGACCAACAAACGTTTGCAGATAGTTTTTCTCAAGTTTCCGTTACCCGTTGAGATCATGGTTAAGATTAGTAAAGAGCAGAGAGCTTTTTGTATTGAACATTTCCTCACCACCAACTCATTTCGTAAGTTTCGCACAAGGCACGGAAATAATGTTAAAGTGTCCTTAAGACCTCATTTGATGTCAAGGGTGAAAATGGTCCTTCTGTTAGGACCTGTAGAGAATCAGAACAAAAAATTCCCCAAATTTCAGGTCAAACACACACAGTACCGTTCACACCCCTTTCAACGTCACCAGGGTGCAGCATTCAGTAGATGAGCCCCATGAGACGTCACCAGGGTGCAGCATTCACTTCAGTAGATGAGCCCCATGAGACGTCTGTCCGTAGACAATGTCTGCAGCCAGGACCTTCCTACACCTCATCGGTCCGCATTCTCAAGGCAGATCTTCATCTACGACTGAATCATTTTCCTGTTTGCTAAGCTGACATGGATCAGAGGATAGCTATGTGTTCATGATTCTTCCATCGTATTGAAAAGCGTGAACATTTCCTCTATGGCATTTGGTTCCTTGGCAAATCCCCAGGATATGATAAGTCCACAAACAAAATCTTTTAAAATGGTGCATTTTGCGTGTATAGGTGGTGTTTATAACAGCCATTTCTGTTTTCGAAAACAAGTTTTTTTCTTCATTAAATTTTTGTTCGAACGAATTCCTTTTAGATGAATTGTATCTGTTCCAAATCACTGGTATAACATTCTAGTACAAATTTTCAGCGAGACATTCAGAAAAAAAAGTTGTTTAGTTTTTTGGGTTTTTTAATCAGCCTGTAAGCGCCGAAGATGAGAGGTGTTACTAGAGATTAACATACAACGAAAGGAAAGAGGAGAGATATAAGATCGATAGACGTTTGACAGGAAAGGAGGAGCAAATAAAATTAGTGCGCCCGCCACCCACCCATGGGATGATATTTACGTGCAACGATGTCCTGAGGTAGAAGTTATCAATGAACAGGAAAACATTTTCACGCTCCGTGTTATCCTCATTAACCCCCCCCCTCT